CCCTATGTTCCCACAGCCCTATGTTCCCACAGCCCTGTGTTCCCACAGCTCTATGTTCCCACAGCCCTATGTTTCCACAGCTCTATGTTCCCATAGCCCTATGTTCCCACAGCTCTATGTTCCCACAGCCCTATGTTCCCACAGCTCTATGTTCCCACAGCCCTGTGTTTCCACAGCTCTATGTTCCCACAGCCCTGTGTTTCCACAGCCCTTTGTTCCAACAGCCCTATGTTCCCACAGCTCTATGTTCCCACAGCCCTGTGATCCCACAGCTCTATGTTCCCACAGCTCTATGTTCCCACAGCCCTGTGTTCCCACAGCCCTATGTTCCCACAGCCCTATGTTCCCACAGCTCTATGTTCCCACAGCCCTATGTTCCCACAGCTCTATGTTCCCACAGCTCTATGTTCCCACAGCCCTGTGTTCCCACAGCCCTATGTTCCCACAGCCCTATGTTCCCACATTTCCTTTTTCATAAATTTGTACAAAAGAAGATCTTCGAATGTCAGTAATATCCAGTTATTGAGTTATAGTGCTGTTCTTATTTACAAACATTTCTGTTTTTCAATGCGTGTAGCCTTTCATATATATATATATATATATATATATATATATATGTATATATATACACACACACAAGATTTACATCTTATTTGCAAGGACAGATGAGTGGGCACTATTCACAAGCTTATAATACATATATTTGAATATGACAGCAGCGATAGTCGAACGTTTCCATGGCAACAAGTAAAACAGTCTTGATGGCTGTCCATCAGCCAGTTGCAGTCTCTGCCCTCACAGACTTTACGTGATGGCAGTAAATACATCATAGTACATACACCTGAAGTCCGCAGGGGCTCAGTCCGAGAGTCCAGAGGGTGGACATTTGGATTCAGCCATTGACATGACTGACAGCTGTGTTAGAGACTCATCGGCTCTGATTGGTAGTTTTCAGTCACATGCAGTTAGGCCATTAGAAGCACTACAAGGCAATGGAGTAGGCAGAGGAACATGATATTTCTTCACAGATTATTTGTGTAGTGTAGTGCTGTGTGAATATAATGACAGTTTGAGTAAATATAACAAAAAGTTACTTTTGATAAAAGTAACCAACTACAGCTTTAATGTCTTGTAACTGATTAGTAAAGCATTACTAAATGGTTTACTTTTCCATGGCTCAAAACACTAATTATACTTAGCAGGCCATATTTAGAATATCCAGTTACTTTTAAGCTTTGAACTGAACAGCGATAGAAGCTCAATCAGGAGCTGATAATAACTGATACTAATACATATAGGAGGAGGAGGGCGAAGGTACCAAGGCATTAGGTGCTCTTTCAAAACAGTACCAAAAGGCATGTCTTTGTTTGTTGCTGTGTATTTAATGTGTATATATAACATTAAAAACTACTCTTCTCTCATCCTCCTCTCAGCCTATAATACACCTAAGCATGAAGAGCTGATTATGCTTCAGAAACTATTATCTTCACAACCCCCAACGATTTCAGGTTTTTACTTTCATTCCACAAAATGGCTTTTTAGGGAGGAATATCTCTCACATCTTTTTCAAATTATCACCCTGCTATGAAGTCCTCATTAGCCTAATGATGGATAGAAAGAGCAAAGACATGATACCTTTAAGAATGTCTCAAACCTTTTCAAAGCCATCTTCTAAGCCTTGCCCTACAGAACAAATGGGCCCATGTGGGACAATAAAGACTGAACTGCATTAAATTGAATACTGCAGAGCACCGTTATGATGTACAGCAACTAAACTGTCTTAATACAAATGAGCAGATTGAGATTTGAGCTACTCTTTGATTGACTTTCTAATTGCTTGTTCCACTTCATCAGCTTTAACTTGATTTAATAATTTGGTGTAACAATATGGCTGAAGTGTTGAAAGGAGGAGCTGGTACTTAGTATAATAGTCTGAAAGTTCAGTTCTCTGATTGTCTGCTCCAGCTGTGAAACACTGCCATACAGAATAGATTAGAGTCTTCTCTCACTTAGTGGTGACCTCTCCAACCGCCATGTTGTCTGAACCTCCACGCCATGAACAGCTGCCTTAGCTGCTGCAGCTCTCTTATGTATGCTAGCTTGAATATGGTGCTTCTGTACTAATGCCAAGGTAGAGGGTTCACTCTCCTTATGGGCCGACTAGTCAGAAGTGTGAAGGCTGTCACAGCTTGTGGAAATACAGCTGGTTAGGCTTTTCTCAGGGAGTGCAGTGAAACTTTCTTAGAATATGTCTGTACAGAAAGAATCCAACTCTGCAGGTCCATTCAGGTCTATGGAGCTTTTTTTAGCATCTTTCAGCTCATTGTTTTGCTTTTACAGCCCACACATTAAACCTGCATTAATGCTGGGTTCAGTCTGTATGATGTGTTGGTCCGTTCTGACAGTCACCATGTCAGATTAAGCAGTTATGGAGTCATAAAAACTTGCCATGATGCTAATGGCAGTACTCACCAGGTTGCTGAAGTGCTGCTATTTTACACCACTGTTTCTATACCATTGTCCATGGCAGCAGATCGCTCTGTGTTCCTTATGGTCAAAGTGACGTCTGTGATGAAAAGAGTCGAGGAAGACGAAAAGAAAACAAACTTGCTAGTCTTTATTCTGAACTTTATTCAAGTCTGATCGATGGACGCAATGTCAGCTGTTGTCTACTATGACACACTACATGGGATAAAACATTTGTTTATTGTGCATGACACTAATTGTTGTCAAAATCCAGGCCAACACAGTTGGACAACCGAATTGGGCTACTACGCTGACATTGTGTCATCTGAACTAGGCGTAACACATTTTTGGCCACTGGGGGCACTGCACTTGGAAACAAGCTGTAAACCCTGATATACTATTACCTTTTAACCCACACATAAATATGCAGCAAATAGCATTCATTTAAAGTTGTGTTTCTAAACACCTGATTATTGTAAGTCCTGTATTCAATCTCATTTTAGCTCTGTTTTGTTCTCCGCCAACTTAAGGAGCTATAGCTAGCTTACTTTTTCTGTTGATGCTGGGCAGGTATAGAGAATGCGAAGGTACTTCACACCATGTGGGAAGGGGGCGCCATCTTGTGAGGTATACATGCTGTTATCTCTGTTACTGAAGTGTATGCACTCAGTCCCAATACAACATTGTCTGAGTATGTGAGTGGAGGTTGTGCATCAGTGGGTGCGGTTACATGATGGCTTCTCATTCGGAATGAAATAAATCTGAATGAAATCATTCAGAATAAAAGTTTTTCCAGGTAGTTTACATGGGAAATATTCATTCCGAATGAGGGTTTACACGGAGATCAGTTTAATCGCCTTATAATCGCCTTTATTCAGGTCTGCGCAAGGATTGGGGCAGGGAAGGTTTCTGATTGGATAGGGGGCAGGGCGGATGTTACGTGTTTACGTTTACCGGAAGAAAACACTGTAGTCCTCGCTCCAGATAACAAGATGCTTGACGACGACGCTCTTAGTGCCTTTTTCGGGCTTGTTTTGCTTATATTCTTGAAGCAGCAGTACGACAACAACCTTGTTGGGCTAATGCTTCGTCTGTTCAGGAAGAGAAGGGAGGTAGAAGGTCGAAGAAGGGAGATAGAAGACCGCTCGGGACCATCTCTTGTTTTTAGAAGCTGCCATCTTGTCGCGTGCGCGCTATATACGTCATCGCGCCAGAAGGGCAAGGAAGTGAGCATGCGCAGAAAGACCGGAATGAACTTAAAGAGAAATGAGTGTATACAAGTGCGAGAAATTCTTTCATTCGGAATTAGAAACGAAATAATCCAGCCCCTTATATCGGAATGAATTTTCAATCACATTGGCCATTTTCATTCTGAATTAGGTGTTTACAAGATCACTTTTAATAGGAATGAACTTTCATTCCAAATGAAAAGGGAATTAAACTGTCCATGTAAATGCACTCAGTGTCTGTAATCTATCTTTGGGCTGCCAAGTTATATGAATCTAGATTGTTTATCGTGAATAGTTTGTCCAAATACTGTTGCTTAAACACTGTAGCAGACACAGGTAACACAGCATAATACTCATAAAATGGTGCCCCCGTCCCATAAGGTGTGATGTACCTTTATGCCCTCTACATATCACACCAGCTTCACATCATTGCCAAGGCTGCGCCCCCTTTTAAGGGAAGCAATGTCACATTGTGCGAGAAAGAAAAATGCCAAGCTGCTGTGTAGCAGGTTAACCAAGGCTTGCACACGGAGATTTGAAGCACACAAGATTTGTGAATATTCACTGTCAGTGGGGTAAATGGCTCAATGATGCATGTGACAGTTACTACTGATGGATGGCTAGTTTGACTGGGAAGGTGCTGCAGTAATGTTACAGTACAGCAGCATCAGACTGCCATCTCCAAGTAAATCTCAGGCTAGATAGAAAAAGGTTGTTTTTTTACAGCCCACATGAAAAAAATGTCCAATTAAGCAGTACCCAGCCACTGTGTTGTGTCACTGATCCACTGGGACAGGAGAAAACTGAAGGGACATGGCAGTGATAAACCTTATTTATTAAGGTAACGTGTGCGCAGCATCAGGCAAGGTTGCAAAACAACTATTAGACATGCCTACAAATGTTTGTTTAAAAAAAAAAAACCCCCCCCCCCCCCCCCCCCCCAAAAAAAAAAGGGGCGGAGCCCTGACATTTTGCGAGTTCAAATTTAAGCACTCTGGGCTCCCTCGTCTCAAAGTCAGTGGGTTTTCTTGAATAGGTTTTTGGTTAGATGGCTGAATTAAGGTCTGTACTTAACACCAGTTTAAGAGACTTTGTTGTACGAAATAAAATACATCAGTAAATACCCCACACGTGAATTTTAAAACCTTTAAGTGCAACACACACCGCCGCCGTACGCCGCACGTCAAAACGCCCGCCTCCATTATATTCTATGAAACAACCCACACTGGCGCCGGCCGACGCGCCGCGTCGCTCTGATTCAGCCCACTGCTCTATTTCCAATGCGGCCGGTGCTCGTGGCGGCGCTGCGAGAAAAGCCTTTTATGTACGTCTCGTCTCGCAGGATCAACTCCGGTTGTTTCAAATTTTTAATAAGACGACTTTGATAAGAAACTCACCCGTGAAATTCAAGTTGTTGTTGCCTCAAAGTTTTTCCTCTTCTTCTTCTGTTACTAGCAGTTGGCAACCGTTGGCAACTAGTGTAGGTACAGCCACCTAGAGGGCTGTGGTGGGAAATACATGTTGACGGTGCTGCTGCGCGCCGCTGCCAGTGTGTGTTGGGGGGCGGCCCTTGACGGCCACAGCGCCACGCCGGCGGCGGTGTGTGTTGCACTTTACACGTCTTAAAAAGATGGTTGTTAACAAGTGGCTATATGAGACTACAGAGCATCATCACGCCGAACACGGCTTTACAGCCAAGTTATGGTGGTTACGTTAAGTCATGCAATTGTGAAGTAGTTTGTATATAGCCTAACATTAGCTTTTTACTTCTGGCAATTGCATTTAGGCTTCAAAAATCATAAATGTGGAGATTATTTTGCTGAACAAAAAGTGTATCATAAACTATCTTTGCCACAGAGCTGATTTTCAATGTTGTGTTGTTGCTATCTCCACCCACACATATACCAAACGTATGCTACAATGTCAGTGCTGATTAAAATGTGTCACCTTAGCTAGGAGCAAGTTAGCTCACTAGCAAATGCTAACATTAGCTAGCAAGCTAATGGTAGCTTCCACTACATCACAAAGATGGCGACTGTTGAGCATGAGAGATGTCTATTATTCCACACTCAATTTTTGGACTGTTTTGAGTGTGCTACAAATACACTGCATTTTCCTGTACTATGCAGTGTGAATGCACTTAGCGCTCTTGTGCACTCAAAATATTAAGTGCTTCGTACAGAAGTATGTGATTCGAGACACACTGACAGTTAGCAACTAGCTGGTAAACATAGCAGAGCGTTTAGCAGTCAAAGAGCCAGACATTTTGCTCAGGAGTCGGTGGAGACCAAAAACAGAGCTAAAAGGGAATAAATATTGGACAAAAACACAATTCCAAATGAATCATGCTCTGGGTCTGCTAAATGTGGTAATAGGCAACTTTGCTAACACACTCCCCATAGCAACTTTAAAAGGTGATAATAGATAACACAACTTACTGCGATGCCCCTAAGTGGCTAAAAAAAAAAACAATTAACACAGGCTCACATTAAACTGTTCTAAGTATTCAGCAGTTTGACTCAATGCTCAGTGGACATTGTGAAACAGGAGAGAACAGCCATGTTTACCTTCCAACCCCCTGAGTTTACTTTCCAAGCAAGCTGAGTCTTGCTGCTCTACATCTGCAGACACTCAGTTTGAGGACATTGTCTTTCAGGAAATGACACGCCTTCAGGACCAGAAGACATGTCACACCACTGACCGCTCTCACCTGTGGCACTTGTCAGATTTATCTCTGGTAGCAAGAGATAAAGCAAACCACAGCCGCCACTGACACAGCTTCATCACTGGAGGAATGCACATCCACACACATACACACACCAATTATTTTTTCATTGTAGTCTGCAAGAGACAATTTCAGCCAAGGGTGCTATAAAACCTTGGTGCATGAACCTTCATTGGCAAAATGTCATATGTACAAGTTGATTCTGTTTGTTTTATCTGCATCATCAATAAAATGAAGACAAAGTTGCAATATTAACTTTACATCCTCCCACATTAGCTGCATTTTTAACCTCCCCAAACCTTTTTGCTTTTGTTTTGTGATTAATTCATCCAGACTGGTGCTTTAGTTAAACATTTCTCAAGGCACACTGTGAACTTTCGATATGTCTGCTGTCTCACAGCTTGTTCAGTGACCCACGGTTATTCAGATTTATGTAAACAAGGATGTGAGGTGTTTCATCCTGGGACTATTTGCATTAAATGCCTGGCCTATAGTCAGCACCTTGAAAGGGTCGATGAAAATACAACTGACATGACGGATTAAGACTGAAGATACTTATGTTCACCTTTTGGATGATACTTCATTGTGTCTATTCAATCAAGCAATTCTGACTAATGCCTTCAGAGTCAGCAGAATCAATAATAACACAGTGGGTCTCTGATTCAGGAAACTTTTGCGAATTCATATTAGCAATAAGTACACAATGCAGGTCAACAAGACTTCACATAATAATTTTGAGAAAATTCCCCTTAGATTTTCGATGACCCCAGAACATACTGACTTTCCCCTCTAAACTGATAAAAAAAATTAAAAAAAAAATCCTAAATGGATGCAGCAGGAGATTGCTCAGTCTTACTTCTTTTAGACCTTAGTGCAGCATTTGAGATTTGATCATGAAATTTTAATCGACTCACTTAAGCACTGAGGTAGGTATCTGGCTCAGCACCGAGCTGTCTCAGATCCCATCTTTCTAATAGACCTTTGTCTGTGAGACAATTCATCTCTCGGAGGCACACAGCTCCTAAAAAGTCTCACAGAGCTCAATTCCAGGTCTCATCCATTCGTCCCTCTACAGTGCCAGCTCCCACTTAGAAATGTCTTTCAATAAAACTGTATGTCTCTCCATTGGTGTGCAGAAAACACCGATTTATACAAGCTATTACAACACTGACACAGACAGTATGAACCTATGCCTCTACTGGATGTCTTCATGGAAGGAAAGGTCTTTTTTGAAAACACTCTATGTACCTTTTTTTTTTTTAAACTGATGGACATTTTCATTTTTGACCTTTAGTTTCAACCTTTCAGTGTACTTTAGAATTGGAGATTTAAAGTTCATCTGTAATATATTCGTTATTTTTTGTGTCCGCCACTGACTGGCACTGAAAATTGTCTTTGGAGGGTAGTAGGTTGAAATATATGTCCATGTTATTTCTGTATGGTTTAATTACGATCATACTTTCTGCCACTCATGGCTGATTTCCAATATACTTTTTCGAACAACAGTGGCCTCTATTTGTATCTGGAATGTTGGAAATTATTTGTAGGTTATAACTGTAGACTATTTGGACAGCATTTTGAAGAACAAGGTACAAACATTATGACAAAAGATACAAAATCATAACTAAAGAGGGCATTGATTAAATTAAATCCATAACTCTTTATGGACTGTATTCATCAGGGAAGCTTCAGCTTCTAATGGCTAGGGATAACAAGAGTGTTTTTAAAGGTTATTTTTTGTTTAACTGAGCAGTTAAAGCTGAAAAGAGCCGAGAAAAAACATGACAGAGAGGGAGGATGACATACGACAAAGGTCCCAGGGAAGATTCGTATTTAGAGCATCATGAGCTCATGGTTGCGTTTTAGCCGACAGACTCAGCAGGAAGCCACTCAATCCATCTGTGCTGACAAACACCCATCAATAATGAAACCAACGGGAAATGGAGAGATGATTTCTTCTGTCAGCGTCAGTTAAAAGCCTAACAGCTGCCAGATGTTAAGGAGGTGTTTGACTAAAGGCGGATTAGAGAGAGTTACAGTTGTCTAAAATAAATACAATTTTAGACTCTGAACATATAAAACGACTACGTTCTCTTGATTTACTCAGGTAGGTACACAGGTATACAGGAATGTCCAAATCTTCTAACCTAAGTGTCAACAAAGCAGAATGTAGAAGATGTCATCATAATAGCAGATGGTATGATGGGGGACAAAGTGTACATTTGTAGCCATAGAGACAGAGCGCAACGCGTCATAATCTGAAAGCCACGCCCCAAAGGGGAAATGAGGCCCGCTTTCTCCTCCGCTTCTTCGCTCGTTCGCTGTCATTCTGCCTCCGCAGCTGTGCCTTCAAGTCTTCACGACTGAATTGCTAGCTAGCTAGCTAACCTTATTAGCTATAGCTAGCTTATAATTAGCTGATAAGATGGCAAAGGATTATTTTAGCACGCTATGCCTACCACAGAGGCAACGGTATATTAATAGGCTTAATATTGCTGGTCTACCTCAGTGTCCCTTCTCCTTACCTTGCTCATCTTGGAAAAAACATGATGCGGAGATTCTTTTTTAAGAAGCTGTGCATTTCGGCATGCTCAGCCGTCAGCCTGCTCCTACTACTGGCACACGTTGTTGTTTTGAGACATGTCTCTACATGCTGGTAGAGTGATAGAAGTGCTAGAGCAGACCGCTGGAATGGACTGCTTGAATCGCAGAGTGCTGGGCACAATTATAACAGAAGCTGCATTCATACTGTAAATGCCTTAGCTTAACACACATAAATACAGTTAACTGTTACTCTAAAAAATACAGTTAGAGGGTTTGACAAAGTGTTTGCTGCACACATAGGCATACCGAGTGTCAGGATCCCACAATTTTTTCCCTGTTGAAGCCTCACGTTTTAGTGCCTGTATCCACTTTTGTCTTCTACAAGGTTCAATTTTTCTGCTCGGCAGCTGATAAAAGCTAAGCACTGGGTTATTGGCTATGCAACCCACCACACAGCAACTTTTTGGCTATTGGCTTTCACATTATGATGCATTGCGCTCTGTCTCTATGCGAGCAGCGTGGCTCTGGTTGCAATGTTGGGCACCTTTTAAACTAATATCCCCTTTAGTGTCAGTTGTACTTTGTATTTAGTGCTAATTAGCAAATGTTAGCATGCTAACACACTAACGTAATATGTGGAACACTACAAACATTGTAATAGTAACATTTTGTTGCCATTGTCATTGCGCTGCCAGTCGCCAGAAGAAACTGCTGACACTCTATGTTTCTGTAAACCCCAACTATGATAAAGTTACATGTTTCATACATTTTATATTGACTTTTCTAAAGTGACGTTGTTCATGAGCTGACTTTCGGGAGGTGGAGGGGATGGTGGATGGTGTGTCACCTAAGCTAGACGCCTGCCAAGCTACAGACCACGGTTTGAGACCAACAAACAACAAAATCAGTTGTTTTTTAACCGGTCTTTGCTTTGTTTCCAGCGACTTTTAAGATACCAAATGTGGAGGTTTTAGTGACTCGTGGCTGTTTTTCCAGTGTTTTTTTTTTTTGTTTCCGGTGGCGATTTGGGCACCAAACCTCTTTTTTTATTTTTTTTCTTAAGCAATGTGTGGCTCTTTTTCCAGCGACTCTTCAACCTCTTAAATGTGAGTGTATTTCAGCGACCCATGGCTCTTTTTCCAGTGGCACTTAAAGGGATAGTTCACCCAAAAATGAAAATTCAGC